TATATATATATATATATATATATATATATATATATATATATATGTAGTAAAGAATAATTAAATAAATTATGATAAAACATTTGATATTTACGGAGGGATCGTTTCTTGTCTAAACATTTAATACGCTCGACGATAATATCATAATTAGTCTTTGTCGTGTTTGCTTATGCACGATTCTCCCAATATATACTCGCAGTACGTAGTCGTTTCATTGATAATTCATGCAATTGTCTTATTGATTTCTACTGTTCGACTGTTGTTTTGTATCGTATACTGTTTGCTTGCGCGAAAGAAATTATCAAACATGATTCCACATGATACAATTGCCATTTCAAACACGCTCGAGTCAGCGATAATTTAATCTTGACAAATTATTATTAGAGTGTTGGTAAGTGATGTGCAGGAGACTCTAAAGAATCCGTACCTCGACGATTACCTTGACTGAAGAAATACATATATGCGCACAGCGAGGGACTGGCCGTGTAGCTTTAAGATGCTCTTTTGAAATCGTTTTCTTCATCGAGACAAATCGATACCGGGAGAATCCGCCTCTCCCGCATCGCAGACAGACAACGTATACAAATTTATTCGTATTCGGAAGAGCGTTATTTTCATTCGATTCTTTTCAATTCTTTCTCGATAAATTTACGTATACGCATATACAAATATATATATATATAGAATATGTACAGGAAAAAACGATGACGATATCGACGTAATTTTCATTGAATATGTGATTTTTATCTAAGCGAAAAAATTATATAATTCTCACCTGCAGTCATGTGCAGTTTTTCACAGTTAGCAACAAACATTAGACTTTATAATAGATTTTATAGCGGATAATAAACGAGGATTAAATTAAAAGTGTCTATAATAAGATTTGTACAAGTATATCGCGAATCATTAACATTTTTCCATGTGGTGTATCTGAATCCATCGACGATAAAATTCTGAAATAACCGCGCGTTAATTCCTCAAGCACTTAATTAAACCGAGTTAAGGTCCAACAGCTTAGTGATATATATGACGCGTTTCTAGCTAGTGTTACACAACCACGTACTGTTTTCGTGCGGGAGCGATCTGGATGTCATTGCTCTTGCCTGGAAACCAGCTATATGTGTGTTTTGTATCGTTGTTGAATCCTCTTTATATCCAAAGGCGATTTAGCAATCATACGATGTACACATTGTCTACAACGCATCTGTCGATTATTTAAATCGATCCTCGAACCCGTTTTTTCAATGTGTTCTCGGTCATCGATCGATTTAAGTTGGATCAACTTGTCGCAATAAATCGCCAGCTGTTATAAATCTATTCGCAATTACTAACGCAGACATAAACATCGTGCATGCGTGATAAAACCGATTCGCATGATGTCACTGTTACGAAAGAAATGGATGCACAGTAGTAGTAGCAGTAGTAGTAGTAGTGGCGGCGGCACTACTACTGGAAATTGTATAGTTTTGAAATTGTTGATACTCGAGAAAATATTAGTTAGGAAAGAACTTTAATCAACTCTGTAACCAGATAGAGTTAATATTAAGAAACGAAAACATTTTGTCATACTGAGTGAGTCATTGCTCGCGGCGATTTATCTATGTTATTATATTCCACCATCTAGCCTTGAAAGTTAATAAAAAAAAATTCAAGCGGGTTTATAAACATTTATAAAATAGATTTATAAACGTTTTATAAATCATATCGCGGGGAAAACAAAACATACATATTCGTACCTCATTTAACATCCTTTATCGGATGTTTTGTCGTCTTTGATATTTTAATTATCGTACGAAGAGAAGAATAGAACGTTGTTTATACGGCTTTTCGTGTTTCAGTGTTGAACGCGAGGCGTCGAAGAATATCGAGGAAAATGAAAGAGAATGCTTCAAAGATGCGATCGTGTCGAGCAGAAGTCTCAACAAAGGCTTTGTCGAGCCTACCAACATTAAAAATGCCATAC